GAAAGGAAAAAATCGAAGAAGTGTTTTGTTGAAAATGAAAACGGCGGCAAAAAGTAATCAATACGCTTGGAAGAACGTATGCGTCAGACGGCGCACGTAAAAGAGAGACGGCTTACAGGCGCGTCACAGGTACGAACCAATAAGAAGGAAACGCGTGGTTAAAAAACGGTTGAATTATGGTGTATGACAGCTCATACGCGTAAAAGGGTTCTTGAAGTTCTTGTTCTTCAAAGACATGTCGGCCAAAATAAGATCTCCACTGAGGAGTTCTTGAGCCGATGTACAGGAAGAAGTACCGATATAGGTTCCATCACCTCAAAATGCCGAGGTAATAGAACCTAAGGGGCAGTTGTGGAGATGTATTTTTGAGTACCAACACGTGGCAAGGTGACGCTGACGTGTCACGTGTCAGGGTTATAACGCCGAGGTGATCTCGGTCAAGCCGAGGTTATCTCCGAAGATATCGGAATCCGAGATAAACGGATAAGAGATAAGGGACAAGAGTCCTAGAATAAAGAGGAGACTTAACCAAGATAAGGATAAAGTTCTTAGGGAGTTTATCTCTATCTCTAAAGGAGTCCAAAGTAAGTATTAAGTAGGAATCCATAGAAGTCAGGCTTCTATTGGGATTAGGATTGAGGTAACTATAAAAAAAAGGCACCCCCGTGGGTCTAAGGTACGCAATTTATGCTTTGAGCAGTGAGTTTAGCACCTAATTATCTTTGAGAGATATATTGACTTGATCGTCGGAGTGCCTCCGGGTGGAAGAACCACCGCCGGAGCCTTCTCTTTCTGTTACAGGTTAGCTGAAGCCATCTATTCTACCGGTGTTCTCTAACTGATTACTAAACGGGCAGTGTGATCAGAAAATCACTCACACATATATCTTTCTCGTACTCTGTCAATCCTTGCTAATCAAGTCAACCAAATCAACAAATCTTCAAAGTAGAAGTAACCTAAACGTTCACATGCCCTTAAATCTATATTTAATACAAGCTATAGAATGAGGGAACGAATCCTAACACATTTAAATTTAGAAAACTCTTTCATGCAACTCTAATATGTTAGTAAATGCAACAACATATCATTATTTAATTTATTTTTTTTTGTCAAACTTGAGTTCTTACAACACATATTAAGAAATTTTAAAAAATTATACATCCTATATAAAAATGTGTGCAATAAAATATTTAATCTTTTTAAACATTCTCAACCTATGGTTGAGAACAAACCTTAATAAGGTTATTAAAAGAAAAACTATGCCAATAAAGTACAGAAAACCTTACAAATTTTGTTTTGAATCAATAAATATACACATGTAGAACTAAGGGTAAATTACCTACACCCAACCCCTTTTGAGATTTTACTAAATTACAGATTCTCCCTTAAAATTTTAAAAATTACATCTCGCTCCTTGATAGTTATATTCACATAACAATTCATCCCTGTCATGAAGTAAACGTAAGGAATTATTGATAGAAGCATGTTGACATAACAAAAATAGATCTTGATGGACGATATTGTCCTTGATACCTTTCCAAAGCACTGAACAACCTTCTTTAACTTGAAATCCCTTTGATAGGCCAACAAAATTTACAAAATATTTAAATATTTTTTTAGAGTAAATATTTTTTTAATGTGCGTTGTATTTACTATATTTGTGCATTGTATTTTTTAAAATATTTTTTATTTTAAATATATAATTTTTTTATTTTTTTAAAAAATATTTTATTTCATTTTTTTAAAAAAATTGAATATTTTTTTAAATTTTAAAAAATTTTAGATCGCCCATATATATCTAAATCATAACAAATTATTTGGCCAATATTTAAAAAATAACAAAATATTTTTTTTGAAAAAATAAAAAATAAAAAATATTTTTCTTCAAAAATAAAATAATTTTTTTTGAAAAGCTAATAAATAAAAAATAATTTAAAGAACAAAATAAATAAATATTTTTTTGAATTTCTTTTTAAATAGAGTTCTATAAAGAGTTTTGAAAAGAATTTAGTTATGAGTTTTGAAAATAATTTTGAATTTTTTTTATTCAAATGGTGAATTGAATTCTAAACCAAATGCTATCTAAAAGTTTTTGAAACCATGTTTGATTTGTTGTTTAGAAAAAAAAAAATCTAGAATTTTTACTAATTTAATAAAAATAAATATGAAAAAATATATTTAATTCGTAAAAATTATTTCTAACCTCTCAAAAAAAAATTATATAAAATGATAATTATTTATTATTTTTTTATTTCTTAACCAAATTAATTTTTAATTTTTTTAAAAAAATTCTAAAATAAGTACTGAGCAACTATTGACTGACTTGACATGATGTATCAGCAAAATATCATTATTTCTCTACATAGCACAGCTAGGGGCATTTTAGTCAATTTACTATCTCTGTCAACGACATTAATTGCAATGGGGCGAGATGTAATTTTTAAAATCTCAGGAGAAAATTTATAATTTATGTGAGATTACTCATTTGTAATTGATATTATGAAATTTTGTGATAAAATTACGGCAATTTATGATTGGATATATGATGAGAAAATAATCCAAAAGACTGAGATTTAATGTTCAGATAGAATAAATTACTTTATCATCAACATTATACCGTAATTACAAAAAATACTATTAAAGTTGCGTTCTTCCGTTACGGATTACACTGAGATTTTTACAAAAAAACAAACATCATTCTTCCAACCATATACTCTTATCTTTAAAGGTATTGTTTCAAATAAAATTTGAAACAAATTCGTGCACAAAATTCAAAAACTATTTAAAAATAAAGAAATAAAAAATAAAAATAAAAAAAGATAAATCATACAGGCCTCCTTGAGATTTGAAAAAAATATAGCCTGTGTTTGGCAAGTGGGTTTGCAGGTTTTTTTGGCTATTTTAGCCATAAAAAATGAAATAGGCTATTTTAGCCATACCAAACAAAACATCACATCCAACCCATAATCATTACATTCTTCTCTCACAAAAAAACTCAAAAAAACTAAAAAGCCAAAAAGTCCTTCCCAAACCAAAAAAACTCAAAAAAACTAAAAAGTCAAAAAGCCCTTCCCAAACCAAGCTTTTAAGCCCAGGCTAAAATAGTCAAAAAAGTCAAAAAGCCAAAAAGCCAACCCACTTCCCAAACGGAGGCATAGTAAGTTTTAAACTTTTAACATAATTATACTGATCCTCCTTCTAGTAAGGTTAAATGGACAAAAATTAATTAAGATTGTGCTAAAATACAAAATTAAACGACGTAAAATGTATATTTTCATGTAAAAGAGACGTTACCATTATTTTCATCTATACAACTAGTAAATTATTAATGAAAATGAGACTAAGGTCCCCGTCTGGCAACATGAGATTTTAATTTAAAAGTCAAAAAGATACTAAAAGTCAATAAATACCAAAGAATAAAAAATTTATTTTTATTCACTCTACTTTTTGTACATCTTTTCATTAAAAAAAATCATTTTAAACATGTTAGTTTTTTTCATCAACTAAAAAGTCACAAAAAAAAAAACATATTTCCAAATAGTTCCTAAATATTATGTGAATTAAAATTTTAAGAAAGCTCAATGTAATTATATTGAAATTATGATACTTATTATATTTTCTCTGACAATAATATTAGAAATACAGAGGACTCAACATAAAATGAAAACAAATGTCTCACAAAGGGTTCATTCAGCTTTTGGTCCTGTATACTTAAATTTTCTCTTTCTCTAAAGTTATATTTGGTTAGAGAATTTGATAAACGATTTGAAAAAAGAAAGGAAAATAGAAAAAATTGATAGGATTCGAATTACAAACTATGTTTAATTGAGTTGGTATAAGAAGAAATAAAAGAGCTTAAATGAATCTAAAAGGTAAAAAAAGTGAGATTGCATTTCATTCTCACTTTCTTTTCCCTTGTTTTCCATTATTAGGGTTGAGCAAGGAAATTGAAAATTTTACAAATCAAACTGATCCAATTCAATTCGGTAGGTTTGGTTTGGTTTTTTTAATTCGTTGTTCAGTCTTAGTTTAGAAAATTTGGGAACCAGTCTTCGCAAATTGATTCTGGATTTAACTTCACGGTTCCAAATTAGAATCGAATAAGACGGTATGTAACTTAGGTCTTATTTGGAAACATGCTATTTCAGCAATTTTTTGATTTTTTGATTAAAATATAAAGTAAAAAAAATAGTATGTTTGAGATGACTTTCTTTTTACAAAAAGATGTATAAAAAGTAAAAAGAAAAATGAATCTTTGACTTTTTAATAAGGTTGTTGACTTTTTAATTTTTTAGTGATTTTTTGACTTTTAAGCTAAAAGATTAAATTGTCAAACGAGAACCTAAACCATATAACTACCATATGATGCATACAATCCTATTTTAATTGTTGTTGCCAAGACAAAATATTTGTTTGATGGGAATTTTATGCTTGTTACATGTTGAATAATACGTTTATTTATTAGATATTATATTTATTTAAGTTAATGGTGGAACAATATACATGTTTGAGTTAATGGTGGAATAATATTTTGTCTAATGGGAGTTTTATGTTTTTTTGAAAATGTTATATAATTTTTCTTGTAAACAGAATGTGTGAAATCATGATTCCAAACCGAGTCAGATCATGTTTAAATAATTTGATTTAGATTAATTTCATGATTTAAATAGATTAGTTTAGTTTCCATTTTTATGAAATTGTAACCGTGATTTTATCCTAATTTGGCCCAAACTAAACCATATTCACCCCTATCTATTATAACTAAACAACAAATAAAATTATATATATATATATATATTTTGTCCTTTTTATTTCTATCATCAAATCTTTCAATAAACCTTAATGTGTACCATTGAAGAAAAAATAGAAAGTGTAGTCGGGTCAATAATTTCATGAGCCAACCCACACCTAAACCCGTTTAAAAGTGTGATGGGTCGGATCCCACCCAATCGCCGACAGTGGTGACAGCACTATGTGGCCTGAAACTTTATGTAATGGGTGTACCTACATTCCAAACATGCGCATCAAGCGCCCAAACTCCGAAACCACACACGATCACCAAAAAAAACCCAGAGAGAGAGAGAGAGTTCTTGGCTATGGTGGATACCAAAGCAGAGGAAGACGACGATGAGGGCTTCGGCGACTTCACGTTCGCGTCCTTCGCCAATCACGCTCTCCATTCCGATCAGATCAACGGCCGAAAATCCACCGCCGACTACAACGACGACGAATGGGGCGATTTTGTGGAATCCCCACTTCGATCCGAGCTCTCTAGTGGTCTCTCCACCACCCAATCGCTTCCCAACCCTTCAAAACCTTTCGACCCATTTGGGTTCTTCCCAGATCACTCGAACACACCCTCACAATCGGCGGCGAGTCCAATTGAATCGGTACCGAGTCATTCTGGTTCGGAGAAGACTCAGTGGATGAAGCCCAAAGGAGCTTTGCCTCTATCGATATTTGGCGATGAGGAGCAGGAGGAGGAGGAGAAGGAGGAGCAATCTGGTGTGGTCTACCCTTCGGTTGGTGATGTTAGAAATGGATCGAATATGTTTATAGGCCTTGCGTTTAACGATGTTATTGCTAATTTATACAATCCGAGTCAGCAGATCAAGGCTGAGAATGGGTTGAATTCCAATTCAAATGGGACAAATTCGAATTCGAATGGTTTGAAATCTAATTCAAGTGGGTTGAATTCAGATTTATTTGCTGGAAACAATGATAATCAGAGTTCGCAGATTAATACTGTAAGTGATTTGAGTTCGAATTCTAATTTATTTGCTGAAAACAATGATAGTCAGAGTCCGCAGATTAAGGCTGTAAGTGGGTTGAATTCGAATTTGGATTTGTTTGCTGGAAATAGTGATGATCAGGGTCAGCAGATCAATGTAGTAAGTGGATTGAACTCTAATTCAAGTGGGTTGAATTTGAATATGGATATATTTTCTGGGAATACTGGTTCTGAAACATTTGCAAATATTTATAGTCAGAGTCCGCAGAATAGGACTCAAGATTCAAATGGATTGAATTCGAGTTCAAATGTATCTAGTTCAAATTTTAATTTTAGTGGTATGGATTCAAATTTTGGTGTGTTGATTTCAAACTCGGATCCTCCTGGTGGAAGTGAAGAATTTGATGGTGATGATGATGGATGGGAATTTAAGGATGCATATTCAGAATTGAAGGTTGGAGATGGGAATGTTGAGGTAAAGATTTAATATTTGTGTCTCGTGTAAGGCTGTGCATTCCTAGTTGCATGAAATTTGAACTTACATTGTTTTTGAAATTCATATTAGGAACACGCTCTGTCAGAATTTTCGGGATTGGAAGTTCAATCTGTGATAGAACTAGAATGCAGGCCACCATTGTTTAAGTTTATCGATATAATGATGTTGTTTATGTTATGTTTTTGAAGATGGGTTTCTATTAGGGAAAATAGAATTGCTATGTTTAATAATGTGATTAACATCTATATGAACTTTTCTCAGACACATATTTTGCTGCTGTAAGACATGTACATGCTTAACTTTTCCTGTTAAATTTTTGTGTTTACTTGTATGAATACACCATTTGTTTCATCAAATCGAATGTTTTCTTATTTGAAGGTTGACGGAATGGAGGAAAGAAATTCTGAGGCAACTGGGGTTTCATCTGACTTTGGCAATGGTTCACGTGGATTTGGTGATTTATTTTCAGCATCAAATGAGCTTTCTGGTAAATCCAGAGAAGTGGACATCAGTTTTGATTTCAAGCCACTGACAGTTGCTCAAAATGATTTTAGCTTCGATCCATTCTCTAAAAGTGAGCAGAACGGTATTGAAAATGGGTTGAATTATCACTCAGATGTTGGAATTGTTGATTCTGATGAAGGTTTTGGGGATTTCGAATGTGCATTTACCGGAACTGGATTGAAGCAGCAGGTCAGTTGCTGGTTTCTTTTGCCCTTCAATTTTCCTTTGTCAAATGTTTCTGGAATGTACTTACTGAATTTTTTTTTTTAATTTTTTTGTTGCAGGACAAGCCAAAGGTTGATGATATTTCTCACTCTGAGTCTGAGGTTGAAGTACACGCTTCTGATGGCAAAGCTCAGGTGGGTGAATATGATTTGGATATATGTTTTTCAAAGAAAATTTATATGGATGGAGCTTATGAAATATAATGATGTCATGTAGTTGCACTCACTTTGTATATTTACTGTGACCATTGTTGTCAAATTGCAAATCAAATCGAGAATAATTTTGCTAAAATAGTGAATCTTGAATTGTATCGAATCGTAAATTGTAAGATTCACTTTATTTAGAATAACGTATAAAAAAAAATAAAAATTACACACAATGTTTAAAATGAAATAAATATCAATATAATTAAATTGTATATATAAAATCACATATATTAATATAATAATTTATCTCTTTTTATTCAATTTTATTTTGTGAAACGACATTGTTTCATGCATTATGCAAACATAATTGAATCACAGAGAATCACACAAATTGTCGTGAATCGCAAAGAATCGTAGTAAATCGAAATTAAATCGTAAGATTCACTCAATTTAAGATTCATCAACATGAATCGCATCTTTTGATTGAAACTCGTATCGAATCGTGAATCGCAAGATTCTAACAACCATGGTTGCGACTATTATTGGATGTCATGCATGTGCAATTCTATCCTTGTTTGACAAACAAATAATACTACCCCAATCCAAGTTTGACAGCTTGAATGTAAGTCGAATGATAAATATAAACAAACAGCGGTTAAGTCACTAACAGTGCTTTTGAAACATGGAATGACATTAAAGTAGTGCCTCATAGTTACTCTGTGAGGTAAAGAACAAACCTACATACAACTTTATTAAATTTGACAAACTCTTTGCAGTCGATTGGTATTTTATTTGGAAAGACAGTAGAAGTTTTACATATAAAAATCTTATAAAAAAATCGCATGTCGAAACTACTCTAATGAAAATTTTCAGTTGTGTTCTTTTAAAAACAAACTTCTGTTTTCATGCCCATCTCGTAGCTCTTGCCCTCCAATTCGTTAATCTAGTGGGATCCCTCTTAAATTGATAGACCTTTCTCCTATGAAGCACAAATACTTCTAAAAGGGAGTTGTACTTGTATTGTACCCGTATCCGATATCGATTCTCCTCAGATACTCGTGAATACCCAATACTTCCTAAACGCATCCGATAGTTGATATTAATTTTGAGAAGTATTATATTCTTTTCGAAGACTCTAGGTAATGTATCCGAACTATTATCTGATACTGTTTTCGGACACTCTAGGTAACATATCTGAACTATTATGAAATTGAAATTGTAATAATTTTTATATAGTATTAGAGTATAATTGTTAGAATAAATACAAAAGTAGTTTTTCAATATTTCCAAATTTCTTACTGGAGAAAGAATATTAAAGCACTCTGCTTTTTTAGATTTTATCAAATTAATGCATCTCTTGAAAAAAAAAAAAGGGAAAAAAAGTAAACTAACTATTAGCTCTTAAACTGTTATTTAATTCCTAAACAATGGTTTCTCACTATACTTTGCACTCATACTAAGGTCAAGTTTGGCATGAGGCAAAAAAGATAAAAAGTCAAAAATTCACTATCTTATTTAAGTCACATCATCTTATTTAAGTCACATCACCTCTCTAACACATCACTTCAAACCCAACCCAAACCCAACCCATATTTCATAAAAAGTCAAAAAGTGCACTTATTTAGTCTTCCCAAACTAGGCCTAAAAATTATATTTAAAAAACTCTGCTTATTTTGGTCATACTTGTATCCTATTTTTTTTTAGATTTTGTTGTATTGCGTTATCTGTATTGTATCGTATCGTATCAAATTTGTATCCCGTATCCATATTCATATCTATTTGCTCGTACAGTATTCTAGAGCTTGTGCAAGATATAAAGCTACCCTTAAACGCATTGCCCACTTCATAGGCTGTGTTTCCCCTGAGTCAACACATAAATAAATTTTAATAGTCTATTAGGATAAGTACCTACATTGCATATGAGGGATAACTAACTAAGGCCAAGTTTGGCATGATTGAAAAAAGACAAAAAGTCAAAAAGTCACTATCCTATTTAAGTCACATCATCTTATTTAAGTCACATCACCTCTCTAACACATCACTTCAAACCCAACCCAAACCCAACCCATATTTCATAAAAAGTCAAAAAGTGCACTTATTTAGTCTTTTTGCGCTCATACTAAAAATTATATTTAAAAAACTCTGCTTATTTTGGTCATACTTGTATCCTATTTTTTTTTAGATTTTGTTGTATTGCGTTATCTGTATCGTATCGTATCGTATCAAATTTGTATCCCGTATCCATATTCATCTCTATATCCATGATTCTTAGCCTTTCTACCAATTCTTGCAATATAAGCAAAATATTGTTATGTGGCCTCAGCTTATTTATATTTTCATGATATCCTTCTACAAAAAAATTTAGAAAGCACAATTACAATGTCAATAGAATTTATTCTTTTTCCTTTTTTGTGTTTTATTGTTTAAAGAAACTCATTTCATAAATTTATATCATGTTTTGGTATTGTGTCATCCGATGCTTAGGTTTTACTAAAGAATGTTTCCTGGGAGGAATCTACCTGATTGTTCATTTATGCCAACTGATGCAAGAATTTAAGAAAATGGGAAGTGATGGTTGTGATTTTTGTTTGCATTGGTTTTTCCATGCTTACATCTGAATTTATTTTGAATGAGTGTATAACTAACATTAGGCAGAAATTTCTTCTATTATCTTATGATTGTTGGCTCAGTTAAATTGAGTATCATGCAAGAAGCGTGAATATGGTTCTAATTCACATTGTTCCAACCTCCACATTAATGTTACAGCCCCCTGATACATATACAACTGTCTTGACCTGGGAACTATGTTGTTGATCCAACCATTTTGGTTTTTTGGATGGAACCTTATTCTTCATTGGGTATTTTATTGAAACCCTAGTTTTATATTGTCACACTTTATGCATTCTATATCTATATTACCAACATTCCTCTACAATTTTGTTTAATGTGGATTTAGATGTTGGGAACATCATTTGACTTTTTTTTAACCCTACTTCCTCTTTATAGGTACAGTGTAGATCTAAAATGCCAACCATTGTTAACCCACATTTTTTTTTCTTTATTGAATCCATATTTTCCCTTGTGGCCACAACCATAATTAAGGATAGATAGGCCCGAAATGCTGTTTATGTTGCCTTTGAAGTTAGGTTTCTATTAGGGAAAATAAAACTATGTGTAATTATGTGATTGACATCCCTATGATCTAGGACTCAATTTTGCTGTGGTAAGATTTGTGCATAACTTTTGCTGTTAAATTATTATGCTTGCTTGTATGAATACACCATTTTTTTCATCAAATCCAGTGTTTTCTTGTTTGAAGGTTGACAGGAAGGTGCAAGGAAATTCTGAGGTAAATGGGTTTTCATCTGAGTTTGGCAATGGTTCACATGGATCTATTGATTTATTTTCAGCATCAAATGGGTTTTCTGGTAAACCCAGAGAAGTGGACATCAGTTTTGATTTCAAGCCGCTGACAGTAGCGCAAAATGGTTTTAGTTCGGATTCATTCTTTAATAGTGAGGAGAAAGGTACTGATCAAGTTGTTGAGACTATTGATTCTGATGAAAGTTTTGGGGATTTCGAAGCTGCATTTACCGGAACTGGACAGGTTGGTTGCTGGTTACTTTTGCCCTTCATTTTTCTTTTGTCAAAATTTGTATGGAATGCACTTACTGAAACATTAATTTGGTTGTAGGATGAACCAAAGGTTAATGATCTTTCTCATTTTGAGGCTGAAGTACTCACTTCTGATGGCAAAGCTCAGGTGGGTGAATAATTTTTTTGATATATGTTTTTCAAAGAAAATTTATATGGATTGAGTTTATGAAATTTAATTATGTTATGTAGTTGCACTTACTTTTTATATTTGTAAATTATAATATCTTTTCAAGCTAAATATGTGGGACATGACATGGTGTCCAGTGCCCCATTATATGCACTACATATTATTTCTCGTACAAAAGCTTGTGTGTAATTAATAAAGCAATATTTGCGCACAATTCTGATATGGTGGAGTTTTTTCTTCATTTTTTATATTTTTTTATTTTTTCTCCTTATTTGACTCATTCCTATTTTATTTTATTTTTGCTTACTTTCAGGGAAATGAGACAATGTCCAAGAATCCTAAAGGGGCCCTGCCCTTGTCCATATTTGGTGATGAAGAACTGGAAACTGATAATTCTTTGAACATTGAAGATGCTTTTACATATGCGCCCTCCTCCCACCCGAGAAATGGCATTAGTAGTCAGGGCTCAAATATTTCTATCCATGATCTCCTATCAAATTTATACAGTCAAGCTGAGCAGATCCCTTCCGTTGACAAAACAGAAAAACTTACTGGATATGGGTTGGACTCCTCTGATAAAGTGCTTGATCCTAGTCTAGTGAAATGTGGTGATGATTTTGATGATGCTTCATGGGAATTTAGAGATGCCTCCTCACAAACCAGAGATCAGACCTCTCTTCACAGTCCTGGAGAAGCACACCAAAAATTTTCAACCAAATTCAAGCTGAATAATTATGTGGACTTCTATTGTAAATTAAAGGATGAGCTGTCCTTTGTTTGTAAATGCCATCTTGGGAGTCTAAAGGTTGGTATAATATCTAACATCTTTCTTCGAGTTAGGTTGCAATCAGTACTAAATTTTGAAATCTTACTTCTTTTAGAAAGCTCAAAATACTGCTTCTCTTTCTGGTGAAGATGCAAAAGCGGCAGCTATTGGGGAGGAAATCCAGGTTGGTAATACTAGTCTTTGTGCTATAAGTTCCTTACTTTTTCTGCTTTGAACATTTGGCTTCTAATATTTAGTAATTTGGTTGTTTGAAAAAGCAATTTTCAGTGTACTTGTATCAGTGTAAGATGGAAAAAAGGATTTTGTTAGCATTCTTTTATTTAGGAATGGAGTGACCATTGTTAATGTTCTCTTCCTGAAGCCTTCTCAACCCTTTTCCCTTTTTCCTGTGCAGAGTTTCCTTGTTATCTTGCGTCATTTATTATTAGTCTTCTGCAGTTCATTCCACTTGTATTCATGATCTGACTCTTATGGAATGTGAGACTCAGAAAATGCTGGCGGTGGCATTCTTTCTTCTAGGAAACTTTCCTTATAAAGAAGAACTAGAAAGGAATATGCAAACAATGGAAACTTTGCTATATTTTTCAAATTGATTGGAATTGGGATGCTTGCATTTCTTATAACTTAGAAACATGATGCTTAGTTCAGTCTGAAGTTGTTCAAAGTTCAGATTCACCAAAGGTCTGTTCTTTGTATCGCTTTAGTTTAGTCTTCGCCTGCATATGTTGTTCACAATCAGTGTTATAGTGACCATTTGTTGGAGTCAAAAAAGTCCTCACTAAATTCTCAAGAAATGAAGCCAACTCCATGAGGCTTCCTCATACTCTTCCATAGATCATTGCGTACCCCTAGCTGTAACCCATCCACGTGACACAACTAACGCCTTCCCGACTTGGTTGTGCTCCACGTGCCTGTCTCTTCTCCAACCCCGATGACTGTTTCCAGCCAAGTGCTTAATCGACGATCCTCACGCGAACACCACCTCTGATTATATTAGTTGGAAAGTATTGTTGTCAGTGCCACAACATTGGATCACTATACTTGATGAGTTTCATGTATAGAAAGCTAAGAACCCTTGAAGTCAGTCAGGAACAACAATAATGGTGTTGAAGCTTCTTTTGTTTGAAGTGATTAATTTTGGACAAACATTGTTTTAAATGAGCACTGTATCAATCAACAAAACTATGTCATTTGATCTTGAGAATACTTCTTGTTCTTTGTTCTTTCTTCCCCTTTGGCAACAATGTTGTATTGTTGAAAGAGGACAACTTTTAGAAAATTTGGAAACAAGTGGCCCACAATTGGGTTTGTCATGAGTTTAGAATAGGAACAGATTGTAGGGGTAGGCTTTTAAAAGGCAGGGATAAGTTCTAGGGTTTTTAGAAGAAAAGGAGCAAAAGTGGTCCAGTGGTTTAAAATGTAGAAGTTTGTTTGGGGTTGGGAGTGAAGCAAGCCTGCCTGTCAATGGATTGGATTTTTCCTAACACCGACCCTAACCCAAATAATCCGATCCATATATTAAAATCCAATTATCTGATTAATCCGAATCCACATAATATGATTTTAAATGAAACAGATCCCGACACCAGTCTGATTTTATATCCAAAGCCGATTACTGTTTTATCTGGAATATTGCCCTAGAAGATCTAAATGCTATCTCTCTCTCGATCTAGATTCTCAATCTGCGATTTCTCTTTGACCAGCCACCACAAGTGAAACTGCAATACGTAATCAATCTCGTCTTCGTCACTTTCTTTTGCGAAACAATCTCGGATCTGGAGTGTGTCATAGGGTTTCCAACACTGAAGTTTGATTATCGAGCCTCCAGATTGTAGGGGTCAAAACAAGATTCGGGATTGAAACCCAAATTGAGATCAAGAGGCTGGCTTCTATTTCTTGTTTTTATTTTTCTGGTACATAGGATCTTCTATGTTTGATTTGTTTCGGAGATAGTTCTTGAGTTGCAAATTAAGCTGAATGTAGTTTTAACTTTGCTGATTTTGAGATTGGAATTCTCATCCCTTCTTGATTTTCCTTGGAATTTGTTGACAGCCCACTAATTTAGGTGAGAAACCCATTTGGAAATCATTTATAGCTATTGATTTGAGAGGAAGAAAAAAGAAATCTTTGTTGTATCAAACTCGGTTCTTACTTCTAGAGAATATTTAGTTTGATTTGTTTATTAAGAAACCGACAATAATAGGAAAGAAGAAACCAAAGGAAGTTTGGTAATGATGGATTTAATTACACAATTTTTTTATTTAAAAAAAAAAGGGATCGGGTTTGTGGATTGGATATCCATATAAATCAAATTCGGATTCGGATGTCTCATTAGCGGATTTGGGCAAACGGATTCGAATTGTGAACATTTAATTAGATTGGATCGGATTCTGCCAGATCCGGCGCAAGCCCGATCCATTTACAGACCTAGAGTGAAGGTGTTGAAAAACACATGATTTTGATTTAGGAAAATATTTAAAATAGCTGATATTGAAGTTGGATGAGTGGTTCTTACCAGGAAGACTGATATGAGTGGCTCTTGTTGGAAGTTTGTATAAATCAAGTGGTGCGTGGAAGGAGGTGACAAGCGATAATGTCACTGCGATGGACAAAGGAAGAGTGACACTTGTTTTTCTTTGCTGTTCTTTGAGGTTTGGTGGTTTGTGTATGATGCTTTGAGAAGCAGAAGCAACCAGTTTTGTGTGTGAATTTTTTTCCAAAAGCTAAAAGGGTGTGAGAGGGTTTTGGTCCGTCATAGCCGGAACAATTGGGGGTGGGGTCAGTTCTTGGAAGTGGAGGTGAGGAAGGGCGAGAAGATAAAAAGACTTAGGGTTCCTACAGATGAGAACAGGGTTGGGTGGGGTTTGATGCTTAAGGTGAGCTGGTGCCTCTTAAGGAACAACCAAAATGGTATTTGGAAAAGACCTTTTATGGAAGTTGCTAGGGTTTCACACGGGCCTTAGAAGGAGCTGCAGATCAAGAAATGTTTGGTGGATAGAGTGAGTGGATGGGAGAGAGATCTGCTGTCAAAGCAGGAATTGTGAAGATGGGTTAACAAGACTTGGGAGTCGTGGTAGGGATAAAGGTGTACAGCGTGTGGTGGGTATACTTTCTCTTTCACTTCCCCTCACCTGAGGACACCAGCCGGATACTGAACCAGAAACAACGAAGTTTGGGCGATTGGCCAGTACTGCTAGACTAGTTATGTTACATGGACTCATCTCGTGCAGGAGTATTATTGGATGCAGGTGGTTGTCTAAGCATCAGACCTTAAACCTTAAATATTAAGATATTGGGATATGTCATCAAAAGTTGGGAACAGATACATAGACGTATTAAGATTTAAATAATTTTGTATTGTATAATATTTTGACATAAGATGTCCCAAATTATTAGGAATGTATTCAAAATTAAATGAGAAAAAGTTCTTTAAACAAGGAACAACTCGTGTAGAAGGGTTGCAAATGCTATTGCCTGATTCTTATGCAGATGCTATGGACTCAAGTACTCATGACAGGCCAAAAAACACCACCAACTCTTGGTATTTTTTAAAAGATGCTCAAGTTGCAAAAAGAGCTACTAAAGTGGAAGAGATGACAACGCCTAATCTTCCTACAGCTGGGAAAATTCAAAAGCAACTTGAAGGGAAAACATATAAGGAGGAGCTTTATACTCAAAACAAAAGATGTTGGGGTTTATTGTTTAAAGAATACAAACATTGGCAAAGAATATGGAGTTCTTATGAAGCACTATCACACGGCATCTCTACGACTTCTAATTGGGTATTCTTTAAATAATTGGAATTGCATGCAACCATGCGGCATCTCTACAACTTCTAATTGGATATTCTTCAAATAATTGGAATTGCATGCAACCTGCATATTCTGTTGAAGCTAAAAAAAATGAGAAATCGAGGTGGTCCAACACTCATGGATTTGTTCAATCAAAAAGTTTGGCCAACTAGAACATTCTGGACCTAATAAAGACTATACAAGATTTAGATAAAAATATTTGACTTGTAAGTTGTAATACAATCCAATGGTGACATCTACAGCCCATGTCCACCAATTTTTAATAACCTTGACATCTAAAACCTAATAAAACATATCCAGCAGCATACTAACATAAAAGAAACATAAAAATAAGACTAAAAGTTACTCTAAACTTCATTGAACAATGCCCTATACAAGCTCCAATCAAAATCATGCCCTTGTCTTCTTTCTGTACTCTAAATAAATTGTTCCACCAAATGCAAAATAAATCAATGGGTTTTAGTTCATGAAAGACATTGTTCATTGTCTATAAGGTTTCTGTTGAGGCGAGCTGTGAAAATTACAGTCCAAGATCTTCATCAGAACTGAGAATGGAAACCCCCTAGATGGTTGCTTGATGCAATAGTGATTTAGACGGATGAGTGGATGGGAGTGAAAAATGTTGGAAGATTCTTCAGAATATCTGCTTTCTGCCTATTGAATGGGAGATACGGAGGAATATAACCTTCTGCAGTAGTCTGAACCTAAATGTAATTTGTAGATTTTTTATAAATTTGTGGTGGATCAGAATTTAGCTATGGGTAGATGCTGGGATCTTCATGAAGGGTTATCATTATCTCCATAGTCTTCATTGGCGTGCACAAGCAGGGATGATTGTAATATGGTATAGGAGCAAGTAAACTAGATAGTGTTAAATTGTTGCCCTCCTCACTTTCGAAATTATTTCCACTTGCTCATTTGACTTTTTATTTATTTTTTATTTTCATATATATTTTAAATTTTATTTTTGCCTTATGTGTTTATTTTTAACTAAATCCATGTATAGTTTCATGTAGTTCATGCTTTTCTGTTATTTTCTATTATAGGAGGCCTGGAAAGAACTTCACAAACAGAATGTAAACTCCGAAGAATATTCAGAATATCAACCGCCAAGAGATGTTTGCCTAAACGAATTTCTTGAAGTTCTTCATGAACTGAAGTTCCAAGTACTGGAATCAGAGTATCACTTATCAAGAAGATTGCATTTAGTATGCATCATTTTCTTTAATCTTTTAATGGGATTTTCAGAGCATATTCTAGAAAAAGGCTACATGCTTCTATATTTGAATGGTTTTTTATTTAGTTTTGTTTACCAATTTTCACCAGACACACTCATTTTAGGATAAGATATATTCTGATAATGTGATTGGCATATATAAAGTGTACTTGGTTTTAACACAATTGTCTGTGATTTGAATTTCTAACTGCCATTGTCATGCATTCTTCACTATTAATTATTTAAAAAAGGGAAAAGAAAAACACCTCAATATGACGGATGTCACATTCAATAAACATGTGCTTTATATTGTGGTTTCTGTACCAGGTTATGAACAATGTAGCATTTAAACAAGGGTTCCAAAAGGAAAATAAAAGAACATAACATGTATCACCGTGGTCAGACATGGTAACTAGCATTGAAGTCCTTGTCAAAAAATGACTAAATAAATAATCAGCATTGATCTCATGAATTTGACTTATTTTTATGTAAGGTGAAAAATATATTAACATTTGAAATTATGCTAATGATGTGGGCCCCACTACCATTGTGAATAGGTAGTAGAAAAGGTATGTCTGTAGCCGGACTCTATGTTACTTAAATGCTTATAGAATTTTTTATTTTTTATTTTTTTTTTATAAAAAAAAAAAGGGGTTATGTGTGTGAGAAGATTAGGTTAGGTTCATATATATGGTAGTGTATATTGTGTGTATATTCTGAGAGATTGTGTATATATATGGCAGTGTTTTCTTTTCCTTTGGGATTACTATATAGTCAAATGTATTCTTTGTATTATAACACGATTGAATATACAGAAAATATTCAGAAATTTTACATGGCATCAAAGCTTAGTTCAAAACCCTAGCAGCTAACACGAATCTCTCTTTGGTTTTGCTCTCTGATTCCTTTCATCATTTGGTTCATCAGATTCGAAGTCGACTTGTCTGGTCCATCTTCTTCCTTTCGTCTGTTCATCACAGCCTTCGTTGTTTGTCACATCATCACTGCCTTCGCTGGTCGCAAAAAAATAAAAAGAATTATTTGGCTTATCTATGAATGAGGTAGAGGCCATGTATATATAATAGATTCATTATACAATTTAGGAAACGATATAAATAAGGAAGTAATACTAAATTAGTGATTGACACAATCATAGATTATATACAGAATACTAAAAATAAAAAGCTTCTATATATTCTAATTTCTATATTCAGCACTCCTCCTCAAGCTTGTGTAAAGATATTCAACAATCGCAGCTTGGCAATGGATGACTGGAAGAAGCTAAAAAAAAATTAACGGCTAGTCCAAATGAATGCTATCGAACAAATCTAGTAGTCCACTAAATAAAAAAATGCTTAATACATTAGCACCACACCCTAGAAAGGGAAAAGAACAGGGACTGAACTGCCCTAGAAGAAATTGACTGGAATCAATGTCGGGACAGTTTAAAGGATCATGTTGGACCGATGTAGGAACTAACCGGAATCAATGTCGAGACCTTAGTAGCAGGAATCGTTCATGCTGCTCACGATTCTTCCTCAGAAGCGCGATTCTGCGCTTCTGACTCAAATTCGTTGAAGAATCGCGATTTTGATGCAAAAGAAACGCGAATCTGATCACGAATCTGTCTTCTTCTCAGTCGAAGCTCCATCGCTGGCCATCGCAAGACCTACATAGGCCATCGCAGACTTCTCCCTTCCTCCTCACTGGGCTTCGCGAGTCGCACACAGGCCATCGCGACTTCTCTCTCCTCTTCGCTGGTCTTCGCAAGTCACACACAAGCCATCGCGACTTCTCTCTCCTCTTCGTTGGTCCTCGTGCGATGTCTCTCTCTCTCTGATTTTCTCTTCTCAGCGTAAAGATAGATATATATATATGTATAATACGTATTATGTATATCGATCTCGTCATCTCTCTCGATCGATCGATCTTGTCTGCTCTCTCGATCTCATCTCTCAAGATCGATCTCCTCCTCCTCCTCTTCTCTCTGTCTTCGTCATCTCTCTCTTTCCTCTTCTCCTGTCTTCTCTCTCTCTCTCTCTCTCTCTCTCTCTTCTTTTATTTTATTTTTTTAAGAAAATAAATAATTTTTAACAAAAATATTTTAGAATAAATAGATAAAAAAGTAATAAAAATATTTTAGAATAAATTAAAAAAATTCTAATAAAAGTATATAATTAGAATATTTTAACATATAATTTTTTATACTTCTTATTTATTTATAACATGTATAGTCCCATAAAAAAATATAATCTTACAATATATTTTTATATATTATTTAAAATATATACAAACATTCCCAACTAACGATTCTTGAAATGTCTATGATTCCACGCACTCGCTCCCGCTCCAGCTTCGTGCAACTAAGGTTGAGACAGTTTAAGGGGTCATGTTAGACCGTTGTAGAGACTAACCAAATCAATGTTGAGACAGGTTTGTTTCGGTCTTCATCAGGTATCTCTTCGTCTGTTTAGATTTTTGACTTTGGTGCCTCTCATCATATGACTCTCCATCTCTCCTTACTTCAAAATTGTACAAAGTCTTTAGCTCAATCAAGTATGTCGGGTAAAATTTCTCCTAGTCAACTTACCGAGTATCGGGGATGTAAATTTGCCAAAATGACAGTCTTACCTTTCCATAAAAGTACCTCTATATCTGATACACCGTTTTCTTTAGTTCATATTGATATCTGGGGTCCTTCTCTTGTTCTCACTAAAGGAGGCTTTGCATACTATGTTTCATTTGTTGATCACTGCACCTGTTACACTTAGGTTTATCTTATGACTCATAAGTTTGACTTCTACCAAGTATACCGTACTTTTCAGTCTATGGTCACTACACAGTTTGGGTCTACTATTAAATTGTTAAGGTCTGACTTGGGAGGGGAATATTTTAAAACTGAGTTCTGTGAATATTTGGCCAATTTGGGTACCATTCACCAAACTTCCTGTATTGATACACCTCCTCAAAATAGTCGAGCTGAGCGTAAACACCATCATCTCCTTGAGACAGCTAGGTCTCTCCTCTCTGCCTCCGTTTCGACTCCGTTTCGACTCCGTTTTGGGGTGAGGCAATTCTTACTGCTGTTTTTTTTTTTCTCAACGGTATGCCTACCCCCCTTCTTTCTGGTCAGTCTCCTTATGAGTTTCTTTTTTTCAACTTCCTAATTACTCCCTCCTTGTGTTTGGGTCTGCTTCTTTTGTGCTTTTACCTCGTAAAAATAGGACCAAACTTAGTGCTCGGTCGGTCCTATGTGTCTTTTTAGGTTACAGTCTCACCCAAAAAGGTTATCGCTGTTATGATCTTGTTGTGCATCGCCTTTATGTCTCCCGTCATGTTGCCTTTCTTGAAAGTCTACCTTACTTTTAGCTTTCTCCTCTCACAGCCCTAGTTTCCAAAGAGGATTTGGTTCATAATAATTCATTTCCTTTTGAGGTCCCTCCTGATGAGGACATCTTTGCTATTCCCCATGAGCTTATTCCTTCTTCTTCTTGTACCACCCCTCCTAATGAGTCTCTCTCCACTGACCCCCATGAGTCTGATCCCTCCTCTTCTCCTTCTCCTTCTCCTTCTCCTTCTCCTCCTCTTTCGGTGTTAGTCTATTCTCGTCGTAAGGCTCTTTGCCCCTGCTGCTAATCCTCCTGCTTCTAACAACTCTAATCTTGCTAACCATAAGTATCCCCTTCGCATTCGTAAACATTTAGTCAAACTTGATTTTGTTAAAATATGATTTTCTCCTTCATACTACACGTTTTTGTCTGTTATTCACTCTTTTTCAGAACCTCAGTCTTACAAGAAGGCTTGTTAGGATCCTCATTGGATTCAAACTATGGAGTATGAGTTGTTTGCTTTGCAGAAAGCTAATACTTGAGAGTTGGTTTCGTTGCCTGCTAATAAGAATCTGGTTGGTTGCAAATGGGTTTACAAAATCAATACTCATTCTGATGGTTCTCTTGAGCACTACAAGGCTCACCTGATTGCCAGGGGTTTTTTTTTACAGAAGTATGATATTAATTATGAGGGGATCTTTGCCCCTGTTGCCAAGATGACTATTGTCCGTACTTTGATATATGTCATTGTTGTTCGTCATTGGCCTCTTTCTTAGATGGATGTTAAGAATGCTTTCTTAATGGTCATCTTGCTGAGGAGGTTTACATGCGTCCTCCCCCTAGCCTTCACCATTCTTCTGGACAAGTTTGTCATTTTCGACGTGCTCTGTATGGTCTGAAGTAATCTCCTTGTACTTGGTATGATCGCTTTCAGACTGTGTTACTGAGCTTGGGTTTCATCCTTCTGTCCAGAACTCTGCTTTGTTTCTCCTCCACACCTCTGCTAGTTTTGTTGCCTTATTACTGTATGTAGATGATAGGATTATTACTAGCTCTGATTCTTCTGCTATCTCTTCAGTCAAGCAGTATCTCTTCTGTACCTTTGAAATGAAGGATTTCGACTCATTGCGGTACTTTCTTAGTATTGAGGTGACTTATTCTCCCAATGGCTACTTTCTGTCTTAGGCCAAATATGCTAATGAAGTTATTGACCGTGCTAGTCTTACTGACACTAAGATTGCTGATACCCCCATTGAGCTTAATGTGAAACTTAATACTACTGATGGTGTTCCTCTGCCTGATTCTACTTTATATCGGGAGCTTGCGGGTTGCTTAGTCTATCTGACAGTTATTTGCCCTAATCTTGCCTATGATGTTCATGCGGTTAGTCAGTTCGTTTTTACTCCTCGTTCTACACATTGGGCTGCTTTGGTTCGGATACTTCGCTATCTTTGCGTAACTATCTTTCAAGGATTGTTGTTGTCCTCTACTTCTTCCTTGGCTTTAGTAGCCTATGCTGATGTTGATTGGGCTGGTGATGTTACAGATCATAAGTCCACTTCTTGTTTCTGTATATTTTTTGGCAATTCCTTGATTGTTTGGAAAAGCAAGAAATAAATTGTTGTTACTCGTTCTACTGCTGAAGCTAAGTACCGTGCAATAGCTCATGTTACTACTAAAGTTGTTTGGCTTCGTTGTCTTCTCTCTGATTTGAGCGTTCCTCAGTCTTCTCTGACCTCCCTCTATTGTGATAACCGTAGTGCTATTCAAATTGCCCATAACACTATTTTCTATGAGCGGACAAAGGACATTGAGATTGATTGTCACTTTATCCGTCAGCATCTGCAGTCTGGCTTTATCTCACTTCCTTTCGTCTCTTCAATTCTACAATTTGCTAATTTCTTTACCAAGACGCACACTACTACTCGGTTTCAGTTTCTTCTTGGCAAACTCTCAGTGTTTTCTGCTAAAACATCTTGAGTTTGGGTAGGGGTGTGAGAATATTAGGTTAGGCTTATATATATAGTAGTATATATTATGTATATACTCTGAGAGATTGTGTATATATATGGCTATGTTTTCTTTTCCTTCTCTGGTCCCTCTTCCTTTCCTATTACTGTTAATGCTGCTAATGAGTCTGCTATGTCTGTTATATCTGGTGGGTCTGTCTTATCGTCTGCTATGTCTGTTGTTTCTATTCCATTTGTCCTTTATGTTCGTCAGTTATCTGGTGGTTTATTATCTATTAGTCGGCTCGATGCCTCTGGTTTTGATGTTATCTTTTCTTCTTCTATTTGTTCTATGCAGGATCAGATGTCCAAGCCGCAGATTGGGACTGGTCGTTGAGTTGGAGACCTCCGACTGCTTTTTCCTCGTTTTAGTTAGATTTTTTGTCAAGTCCTTTCTATTTGTGGCATTCCAAATTAGGGTATTTGTCTGCTGACCGCTTACGATCTTTAGCTCAGTCAGGTATATTGGGTAAAAATTTTCCTAGTCAACTTACCAAGTGTCGGGGGTGTAACCTTGTCAAAATAATAGTCTTACCTTTCCGTAACTTCCTCTATATACACCGTTTTCTTTAGTTCATACTGATATCTGGGGTCCTTCTCCTGTTCTCACTAAAGAGGGCTCTGCATACTATATTTCATTTGTTGATGACTACACCCATTACATTTGAGTTTATCTTATGACTCATAAGTCTGACTTCTACCGGATATACCATGCTTTTCAGTCTATAATCACTACACAGTTTAGGTCTACTATTAAATTGTTGTAGTCTGACTTGGGCGGGGAATACTTTAAAATTATGTTCTGTGAATATTTGGCCAATTTGGGTACCATTCATCAAACTTCCTATACTAATACACCTGCCAGTACTGTCATCTCCTTGAGACAACTAGGTCTCTCCTTCGCTCTGCCTCCGTTCCGGCTCCGTTTTGGGGTGAGACAGTTCTTACTCCTGCTTTTCTTCTCAACCGCATGCTTATCCCCCTTATTTTTAGTCTGTCTCCTTATGAGATTCTATTTTCTCAACTTCCTAATTACTCCCTCCTTCGCGTGCTTGGGTCTGCTTGTTTTGTCAAAGATAACATCAAACTTAGTGTTTGTTTGGTATCATCTAAAAAAGATAAAAAACCGAAAAGTCACTAAAAAAACAAAAAAGTTTATACTATTCACAATATTTGGGCGGGAAAATTGGGATGAGGGGACTCAGAGGGAAAAACATGCACAGCTCATGCTGTTTAAGACAGAAAAAAAACACAAAAAACAAAAAGTCAAACAATGCACAGTGCATTGTGAGAGGGGGAATTGACAAGTGCTCAGTGCTCACTGCACTGTGCATGTTAGTAAAGGATAGGATCTTAAATTTAATATTTTATACAATATTTTGATATACATTTTTTCGTAAAAATTTAAAAAGTTATCTCAAATAACTATCTTTTTTTTCTCTACTTTTTTAGCCAAAAAGTTAAAAAGTGCATTTATATAGTTCATCTCAAACAACCCTTAGTGCCCGGTTTGTCCTATGTGTCTTTTTGGATTACAGTCACACTTAGAAAGGTTATCACTGTTATAACCTTGTTTCGCGTCGCCTTTATGTCTCTCGCTTTATTGCCTTTCTCAAACGTCTACCTTGCTTTCAGCTTCCCCCTCTCACAGTCTTAGTTTCCAAAGAGGATTTGGTTCATATTGATCCATTTCCTTCTGAGGTCCTCCTGATGAATGCATTTCTATTGTTCCCCATGAGCTTATTCCCTCTTCTTCTTGTAGCAACCCTCCTAATGAGTCCCTTTCCACCGACCCCCATGAGTCTATTCTCTCATCTCCTCCTTCCCCGCCTTCTCTTCTTTCGGTGTTAAGTCTATTCTCGTCGCAAGGCTCTGCCTCCACCAATTGTCTCTGCCCCTGTTGTTGATCCTCCTGTTTCTGACGACTCTGATCTTGCTAACCGTAGGTATCCCCTTTGCATCCGTAAATAGGTAGTCAAACTTGATTTTGTTAAAACATGTTTTTCTCCTTCATACTGTACGTTTTTGTCTGCTATTCACTCTTTTTCAAATCCTCAGTCTTATAAAGAGGCCTGTCAGGATCCTCATTGGATTCAAGTTATAGAGGATGAGTTGTCTGCGTTACGGAAAACTAATACTTGGGAGTTGGTTCTTTCGCCTGCTGGTAAGAATCTGGTTGGTTGCAAATGGGTCTACAAAGTCAAGACTTATTCTAATGGTTCTCTTAAGCGCTACAAGGCTCGCCTAGTTGTTAAGGGTTTTTAACAGGAGTATGGTATTGATTATGAAAAGACCTTTGCATGACTATTGTCCGTACTTTGATATCTGTAGCTGCTGTTCATCATTGGCCTCTTTCTCAGATGGATGTTAACAATGCTTTTCTTAATGGTCATCTCGCTGAGGAGGTTAACATGTATCCTCCCCGTGGCCTTTACCATTCGTCTGGACAGGTTTGTCGTTTTTGGTGTACTATGTATGGTCTGAAGCAATCTCCTTGTGCTTGGTATGATTGCTTTCAAACTATTGTTCCTGAGCTTGGGTTTCATCCTTCTGCCCAAGACTCTACTTTCTTTCTCCTCCACACCTCTGCTAGTTTTGTTGCCTTATTACTGTATGTAGATGATAGGATTATTACAGTCTCTGATTCTTCTGCTCTCTCTTCGGTCAAGCATCTTCCGTACCTTCGAAATGAAGGATTTTGACTCATTGCGGTACTTTCTTAGTATTAAGGTGGCTTCTTCTCCCAATGGCTACTTTCTGTCTCAGACCAAGTATGCTAATGAAGTTATTCACCGTGCTAGTCTTACTGACACTAAGATTGTTGATATCCCCATTGAGCTTAATGTGAAACTTAATACTACTGATGGTGTTCCTCTGCCTAATCCTACTTTATATCGGGAGCTTGCGGGTTGCTTAGTCTATCTGACGGTTATTCGCCATAATCTTGCCTATGTTGTTCATGTGGTTAGTCAGTTCGTTTCTACTCCCCGTTCTACACATTGGGCTGCTTTGGTTCGGATTCTTCGCTATCTTTGCGTAACTATCTCTCAAGGATTGCTGTTGTCCTCTACTTCTTCCTTGGCTTTAGTAGCCTATGCTGATGTTGATTGGGCTGGTGATGTTATAGATCGTAAGTCCACTTCTTGTTTCTGTATGTTTTTTTGGCAATTCCTTGATTTTTTGGAAAAGCAAGAAACAAATTGTTGTTACTCATTCTACTGCTGAAGCTAAGTACCGTGCAATGGCTCATGCTACTACTAAAGTTGTCTGGCTTCGTTGTCTTCTCTCTGACTTGAGCGTCCCTCAGTCTTCTTTGATCTCCCTCTATTGTGATAACCGTAGTGCTATTCAGATTGCCCATAACACAGCCTTCCATGAGCGTACAAAGCACATTGAGATTGATTATCACTTTGTCTGTTAGCATCTGCAGTCTGGCTCTATCTTGCTTCTTTTCGTCTCTTCGATTTTGCAACTTGCTGACTTCTTTACCAAGACTCACACCACTGCTTGGTTTCAGTTTCTTCTAGGCAAACTCTTGTTAAAACGCCTTGAGTTTGAGTGGGGATGTGAGAATATTAGGTTAGATTTATATATATGGTAGTGTATATTGTGTATATATTTTGAGAGATTGTGTACATATATATGGCAGTGTTTTCTTTTTCTTTAAGATTACTATATAATCAGATGTATTCTTTGTATTATAACACCATTGAATGTACAGAAAACATTCATAAACCTTACAATGTGAACTTAACAATTTTCACTGCAATTATGAGTAGGGAGGGTGTGGAACTATTTATTCTTATTGGCTATCTGTCTAAGATTCTTTGATATATCCCTTGATGTAACTTGTATTTTGCTATGATAGGCAGAGAAGGATTTCAGATCAGCAATTGAACTCATGGAACATACCACATCAATGCTAAGTGTTCTGACATTAGGGTCAATGGAGGATCAATATATTTATGTCTCCATATGGTTCAAGATGATCTCTGTATGTGCTCAAGAGTTGAAGCACGGCTCCTCGATTTGGAAACAGTTAGTAGAAAAGAATTTTAAAAGTTGGATGCTCTCTGAACCTCGAGGTACTGCATCTAGTTTATATTATTAATTACAATGACAATATTAAAAGTGAAAAGAAGTGTTGCTGTTTATGGAATTGTTTGTGCCTTTTCTTTTTGTCTTTAGAGTTTCATTTTTTAACTTGAATGTTGCGATAATTACAGGCAAGCAGTTTATTCTTGCCCTGGGAGAGATTTACAGGGTAGTTGTAGTTCTTGGAACCTCAATCAAACTTTACAAGCCATGGATACTATCAAGTTCTGTGGATTGTACAAGCTTATATGCTCTTTTTGAAGAGTGTTGTACTCTATGGTCAAGTTCAGGAATTGAGGAAGCTCTCCAGGGTATAGCTGATCCAATTGATTTCGAATATCATAGTACAGTCGAGGCATTGAGGGAGTCAATCATGTATATTCACAATCTTGATGCACTTGCAATTGGGAACCATGTTTTCAATCAGCCAGTTTCTGTATGTCGGCTGTCACTTCTAACTTCAGAAGCAGTTCCAGGTGAGCAAATTCAAAATTTTGGAGGAATTTTTTTTTGTTTTAATAATAATAATAGTAAAGGATATGAAAGACCGATATTCCCTATATCATGTATGTATAAAACTTGTTATGAAAAAATTACCTATTTAGATGATAATAACCATAATAGATTTCTCTGGCATCAGGTTGTGGTTCCAACTACCCACTTCACATCTGCTAGAAGCAGAAATTCTTTTGTATAAACTTGAAATTTGCAACTGTATGAAATCAAATCACGAATATTTAGGCGTCCTGTTATTTCCATCAAAATATTGAGTTTATAAATTGAAATTGATTGCAATTGTGTTTAAGAATCTTTACTCGTTTTCATTAGGAAACAATCTTAAGTCCTTTTATTTCTTTTTTTTTTTCCATCAGAGATGAAAATGGTGTTGTGGAGTGGGGAGAACTACTTTCTCACGCTTGCAAATTTGTGGGCAAATCTCATAAGCAGTGATCCCCCAGAGTTGCCACATTTGCATGTTGGCTCATGAGAAAATCTTGGGAATTCAAAAATGGTCGGAATGTTTTGTGGAAATTCATTTTGAAGTGTCTCACTATTGAATCCCATGTTTTGGTATATGGGTTGATGAGACCTTTGGAGCACCAATCTCTGCTGCCCAACTCAAATGATAAAGAGAGCATCACAATTTGTTGTGTTAAAATCCACAAGCTCATTGCAGTGAGCTTGGTTTGATCAAGTAAAGGCATTTCATTCATTTTTTCCCCTTCTATGGGCATTCTATTATTGTATAAGCTGTAGTATAGTGTTTTGAATATGTTAGTATTGTATGATTGTGTTATTTGTTGTGTATTAGTTGAAAAGCTTGGTGGAATCGAATAGACAACGATGCATACCCAGAAATGCAAACTGCAAAATGACGGTAAATATATCTATTCTCCTTTTCTTTCTCATCCTAACATTTTTAGGGCAAAGAAAGATAAGATTGTTGGGTTGCAAATAGACATTGTGCTTTATACCTTGCACTTATGAGACTGTAGTGTTATTTCATAAAGCTTATACGGGTAAGTGTATATTTTTGTGTGTGTTACCACACTAATTTGCTGTTATGGGTTTGTCGTTATTGATTTGCTGCTGCATTTACTGCAATGAAAAGTTGCGGAGAGCCTTTGGCCAAAGAAAATGTGTATATCAGGGTTTACTTGGGTATGTGACATTGTCTAGATAGCATGAGAAAGCTTTGTAGATTACAGTGGTGATTCAGCTATGTTATCATTTCTTTGATCATTCTTGCTCTCTTTTCATTCATGCCTTCTATGAATCACAGAGAGAGAGAGAGAGAGAGAGATTTAAATGTGCTGCTCACAAATGGATATAGCTTTGTTTAAATGTCTTTATTTGTGGTGTGGAGCATTTCTTATTGGACTTGATGTTGGCCATAAATTGGGCATTTTCTATATGCTTTTCATTTAAATGTACTTTGCACTTTCTCGTTGTCTCTACCCATCTATTGCATTTTTATGTCCACTGATTAGACATAGTGTGCAATGTACTTTGTTGAATTGCAATGTAAACATGACCTAAGCTTCGAAGATCAGTTTACCCGAATAGGTTATTAGCACTATTTATACTATATTTAACTGCATCTCAGATACATTTAGGGGCCTGTTTGGTGCAGTCTATGTCTAAGTATTTGGTACATGTTCTGTTTACTATTTAAGTTTGAGACAAAAAAAATTAAATAAGCTTAAAAAGCTAATGAGAAGTAAGAAAAGATGTACTTTTAGCTTTTATTTTTTTAATTATTAACTTTCAAGTTATTAAAAGTTATACCAAACATGTCTTTTATATTTCCCATATGCCTTAATAAAGTTTTAGTCCCCCCAAAGTGGAATGCCAATGAGGCCAAAAAAATATTTAGTTGAAAAACAAATACAAAACTATTAGCACTATTTATACTATATTTAACTGCATCTCAGATACATTTAGGGGCCTGTTTGGTGCAGTCTATGTCTAAGTATTTGGTACATGTTCTGTTTACTATTTAAGTTAGACAAAAAAAATTAAATAAGCTTAAAAAGCTAATGAGAAGTAAGAAAAGATGTACTTTTAGCTTTTATTTTTTTAATTATTAACTTTCAACTTATTAAAAGTTATACCAAACATGTCTTTTATATTTCCCATATGCCTGAATAAAGTTTTAGTCCCCCCAAAGTGGAATGCCAATGAGGCCAAAAAAATATTTAGTTCAAAAACAAATACAAAACAAAATGATAATCCAACTGTAAAGCCAGAGGTGTTGGAATTGTTTGGTGCAGGTTTTATTTGTTTTTTAGGTAAGTTTATAGTTGATAATTAGAAAACAAAAGTGAAAAATATGCCTTCTACAAGTTACAGATAATCAATTTATTTAAATTACTTTGTCTAAGAAGTTATAAGTAAAATTATACTAAATAATTTGACACGTTTTTTAAATGAAAAAAATATTTAAAAGAGTCATAAATTGTTCATATAAATTGTACACAACGGTACCTTGTATTCAACTTGCTCTTCTTTTTCTTTCTTTTTTTTTGATTGGTAGAAAATGCATTAAGGAAAGCCAAAACGGCACTTACAAGAGTCCATCTAATCCAAAAATTACACCATACAAAGGGAGAAATACAGCCAGAAGCGTAAAGGAAGGAGATTAAAAAAATATTCAGACGTACATTTCATGCTCGTACTCATATTGCGAAACAGAGCCGATCATAAGAGTTCGACAATAGAGCATGTCTGGAATACTTTAGAAGCCCATCACAGAGAGGGTAAGTTGAACTTTACCACTGATGGACTCTCCAACAAACAAAACAACAAAACCCACAAAACATGGGCAACCAGAAAATAGAAAAACAAACCCACAAACAAAACATAAAAAAATAACAAAATAGCAAGCCAAACCCATAACTAGGCAAGCTAGGAAAACAAAGACAAAAAGCCTATACAATCAAAACTTTCAGCAAGTGGCGGGGCAAATCCGGTAGGGAAGGAGGTGGCAGTGCAAGGGAAGGGAGGCGGCATCCAGCAGGCCAAGAGAAGGTAGCAAAGAAGACGATGAAGGGCAACAACTTTGCCGATGATAGACGACACTGAAGAAAGGCAGGACGGATGGGAGAAGACAGATTTGACGAAAGCCATAGCCGAAGTTGAGGTGGTGGGAAACAAACACCTCACAGAGGAGGGAGAGGATGGAAAGCCAAAACTTCCAAATTTTTGGACCAAAGCAGGGGAGGGGAAAAGGAAATAGGAGGGGAGGGGGCTGGAGGCTGCCGGAAGCCCCTCCTCCACCCCGACGGCCGCAGCACTCTTGAAACCCTAAGAGAAGAAAAGTTTAGAGAGAGAAGCTCTTAAACTTAGAGAGAGAAATTTTATGTTAATTGTATTCAACTTGCTCATTGGTGCTATTTGTTGCAACTTAAATGAGTTGTTTATAATTTATTTTGGGTAAATTACAAATATATCGTCTGAGATTTGTTTAAAATACGAATTGTCTCCTATGGTTTAGAAAATTACAAATATCTTCCTGTCAGAATTTTTTATTTAACAGAATTAATTGAAAAAGTGAAATTTCTAACTGTTCACCCATAAAATAACAAAATTATCTGAATTATTAATTAAAATAAAATTTTAACATTATTAACAATTGTTAATTAACTTGATGATTTATTAATAAAATGACCTATTTGTTATGAAATTAAAAATTTTAGAGGGCATAATGTAATATCTAGAACTACGGTGGTAATTTGTAATTTAAGTAAATCTTAGGGTGTGTTTATAATTTACAAATTTATTTTTATTTGATAGTTTTTGTCAGATTATTTAATTTAATTTTTGCTTGTAATTTATTAGGCAAAATAGCTTAAACAAATTGAAAAAAAATTGATGATCTAAAAAGTGTTTTTGGACATTTGCTTTTTTATTATTAGCTTTTAACTTAAAGTCCCGAAATGTTGTGTATACATGGGTGCTGATTCCAACAGATGAAATTTTCGTAAAATGAAAAATGGAAGTGTTTATCTAATGATTATATGGCTTTGAGAACTTTTGAGTTGTATCCTCAGTTTGGTTTTTGTGATAAATGGAAATAGCTCATATGAGATAAAAATAAGATTAAGATAGCATGAATTATGATACAAAACTTGGCATGGCACGGTTTGCAAACGAGTTGTAAATGATGTTGTCATCGGTATTATATATGTGCATCATATTTATATCTTTGTTAAGATTCATATATTATGTTAGATTGTTTCTACAAGGCTTTGGCTCACCTTGTTTGGGAAAACTATTTTCAGGTGTTGGTGATATACCTCCACCCAGGACTTAGCTTGGGAGGACTGTGGAACTAAAGGCTCAATCTGATTATTTTTGTACTTAACTTTTGTACAACCAAAGGGCTTTAAATGTATTGGATTGAAAGTCTACTTTTGTTGTAACCAAGAACTATCTTGGAAAGATGTAAGCCTTTAGGGCATTTATTCTTTGTTTTACTTCTAGCTCCATCTCATGCTGTGATATATGTTGTAGATTCAGGGACAGGCTCATCAATGTATAATTGCATATGTCACTCTCTTGTATAATTGGATATGTAATAGAAGGACTTTATACTTTGATGCTTGTTGTCACTCACTTATTGTCTTGGTTCGTTTATTGTATTATTTTTCGGGGGGTTACAACTTGGTATCAGAGCGTATCAGGTTTGAATACTTTGGGTACGTGGGAAATGGTTAGTACCACTACGGGTTTATCTCGTTTGACAAAGATGTTTATATGTTTGCAGTGCTATCTGATAACATGTTTATGTGATTATATGGGTATGAAATCTAATTTCTAGGATATTGATTGAGTCTACGGGTTTCTAGGAGTCATATGAGAAAGGCACTTGATCACTGTTGTTTCTAATTGGAACTCTGGCAACGCTGCGAGACGGTCATTATCCAGGAATGAAATTCATATTTGTTTACGTGAATAACTGCTTATGTGGAGTAAATTACTGTTGTCCACCGCATTAGGATGTGAGTGAGTTAGCTTCGGCACATTTGTAAATGTGCTAATATCTTTTGTTACCTTCATTAGGATGTCAGAACATGGACGTGGTGGTAGTAGGCATGGTTGGCCTAAGGGGCATGAAATAAATTTACTGGATGAGATTCTGGCACAAGAAGAAGGGGTTGGTTAGGCTAATGTGGTCGAGCTAGTTGGTCAACAGGCTATGAGCGCCTTAGCCCATGAGATGGTCGAAGCATTGCGATGGTCTATAGACATTCTTAGGGCTGAGAATCAAGTCCAGGCCCAAGTAGCTGAGGCAGGGTCGTTTTTCTAGAAGCGAGAGTTTTTCCGATCGAATCCGGATGAGTTTTTGGGCGATCCCAAGGAGCCACTGAAGACAAATGAGTAGTTGGAGCAGATAGTGAAAACGTTAGAGATGCTTGGCATCAAAGACGACTACTTAAGAGTGACCTTGGCATCCTTCCAGCTAAAAGGAGATGTGGGTCAGTGGTGGAAGTATGCATGTGGGCACATTAGGGTGACTTGGGAGGCTTTCGTCAGCACCTTCCGAGACAAGTTTCTACCTTTCACGGTTAGGGAGAAGTTGAGAGACCAGTTCTCCATGCTTGTGCAATTGAACACTCCGATGGCCGAGTTTGAGGCCATATTCACTAGTCTCTCTAGGTTTGCACCAGAGTTAGTGGCGACTGAGGAGCGCCGTTGTTTGAAGTTTGAGAAGAGATTGAGGACTGAGCTCATGCTTAAAGTAGCTAGGTCAATGATTAGAGACTATGGACACCTTGTGAAGGCGGTGGCTCATCTTGAGACTGTGATGCAGATGGAGGAGGAGAAGTTGAAGGGCTCTAGGAGGAGTTAGGATGTTTAGGGGGACAGTAAGAGGCAGAGGGTTCTAACCCACAACAGTCCTAGGGAGCATAGTCGAGGGTTTCCTTTCTAGTGCTGAGTTCGGGTTCTGGAAGAGATGGTCAGGGAGATGTTACTTGTTACAAGTGTGGCCAGTTGGGCCACAAGTCTCCAGCTTGCCCGCAGAGAGGAGAAGGGCAACAATCTACATCGTCTTTGGTTCGTCCTCAAGGCTAGAGTCAGGGGAAAGGCCAGCCGCTCACTTGTTATCAGTGTGGGTAGGCGGGCCACATGAAGAGGTTTTGCCCTCAATTGGACGGCACATCTGGTGTGTCTGGTTCGAGGAAGACACAGAGCCACTAGCCGGCACAGTCAGCACAGGCCTCAAAGGCCAATCAG